AACCCCTCGTTGGTACAAAATCTCTTTGTTAGATTAACGGTAAATCTGAGCATTTTGCCTTTAATTTCATTGATCGGAGTTTATTTCCGATTTTTCTCATTCTAAATCTTACCGGACTTAATGTTAGTCTTGCTCATCCTTATCTTGTTGGTGTATATATATATAATTTTTCAGATGAGTGCTGTGCTAAATATATACGTAACTTGTATGGGTTTAGAATGCCTTATATATATATATATATATATTAATTTTTAATATTAAAAAATTATATTAAATCTTAAATAATTTAAAATTAAACCAAACTAAATTTCATAAGAAAAAAAGCTCTTCAAATGTCAATTTTATTATTCACAAAATTTAAATTTAAAATTTAATTTTAAAAAAATAAATTTATTTTAACCAAACTAATAAATTATTAATAGGTGTAGAACAATCCTTACACTCCTATTAATTTATCTTTTATTTATCTAAAAAAGTTAAAGTCTGTCATGTGGAATTAGGTGTTGTGTTTTTATATACATATATAACCTTTGATTAGGTCCATGTGATCGTGGGTTTAAGAGGAAACCCATTTGTGGATCTTATCCATCGAGCATGAGTTGCCAAAACAAAAGCACCAGAAAAAAAAAAAAAAAGAAAAAAAAAAGAGGAAAGGATAAGCAGTGATTGGACAGGTCTTGGTGCCAAATGGGAAGTGGGGCCAGTTCATCTGGCCATGTCAGCAGTTTGAGTAACATGGCACAGTGTAAAGTCGTAGTGAAGTTAATACTCACTCCACTTGCCACTTCAGTGACATTGTGAGCCACAAAGTGATTTGGATTGTGAGTCATGAGAGCATGTTGTTTTGGCAACTTGTAGCTAAGCAAAGCAACTCATTTATGATGTGACAAACAAGCCAGCAAATACCCCACTCTTTTGTCTTCATTTGTACAATCTTATCCCATCTCATTATAATAATTTTTTTATAGTCATGTTATTTTTTTACCCAAAAAATATATTGTGAAATTAAGATTAAAATATATAATTTAAATTCTTAAATAAAAATAAGTTTTTTGAAATTAAAAACTATCTTTTTATTTTATTGGTTCACTGAATTGTAAAATATATGATTTATTTTTTATATATTATATTATTTGTACAATTTACTTAATAAAAATAGTTAATTAAAAAATTATAAATTTGAGTGACATAACATTTAAGAAGAATGAGATAAGAATTGAGAAAAAAATTACTTTTTATTATGTTACTTAAAATAAAATAAAATAATTCAATTACATATATATTACTCTTATAAGAAAAATTATGAGATTTTATTATAAAATAAAATTATTTTGAAATTATTGTCCTCAATATAAGATACACGCCATGCTCCGTTAATTAATACTACTTGTATAAATATTACATAAATTATTAGTGTACATTTTTTTTAATAACTACAATTTTTAAAAATAAGAAAGAAAAATGAGGTTGAGAATCCTCAAATCTTAATTAAATAAGTGATAAATAATATTTTTTTCACCCACTTCATAAATTAAGTTTATCAGGTAGATTTTTAAATTCAATAATTTAAAATATATTAATATTAAATAAAACACCATCATTTCAGCCACTAAATTCAATATCCATAACTGATAATTTATCTAAAATTTATATGTTGCTTACCAAATGGAGTGGATCGTGACTCTTTTCATATAATTTTTTATACGTATATTTTCTTTTATTTGTATATATTTTTCTTGGTTGTCAGTGAACTACCACTAATTTGTGGAATTGTAAGATGTACGAATAGAAGAGTATCAGAAAGAAACTAATGGGGTTGACAATTTTAAGGTGAAAAACAGATCCCCAAAAGTTCCAAGTTCGTTCATGTGATTTAGTACAGCTATCACACAACATTTTCCTTCCTCTTACATCATTAATTTTTTCAACCAACTCTGAAGTCAACATCTGATCCTCAATCTCTCCTAGAATTAAGAACCTCAGGATTTTGCAATTTGCAGACAAATAAGTTGTGGAATATGAATTGTTTCAGCTAAGAAGTTAATTTTGTAGATTTGCATGCCCAGCTGGGAATGTAGGGTATATGGCTTAATTCAACCATTTAGACAAAAAAAAAAAAAAAAAAAAAGGGTTATAACAGAGATTTTGGTCTAGTGAGAACGTGATTTGTAAAAGAGATCTTGAGAGACTTTATATTTAAAATTTTTTTATTCATAGCACAAGTTTATTAAAAAAACATTTAAAAGTCAAATTCACAAATATGAATGAAGATACTTTTAAGGAGTGAAAGGAATAAGAGTTAACTTGCTATTTACATAAATCTTGAAGCCCAAGTCACCAAAAATAAGTTATTATTAAAAAAATAATTAGTACATTTTTTGATTTAATATATTAATTAGTATCTATCGGTTTAATTATTGAAATTTGTAGTTTTAAGTATTTTTACTTTCAATTCAAATTTTTAAAAAATAATTTTTTAATAAATATATTCTAAAATATATTAAACTAAAAAATATATCAATTAATATCCTACTATTAAGGTAGTTCCAGGCTGTTGAACAAAGCAACTAAGGCAAACAACAAGTCGATGCTTTATTTCTAAAATTTGTTGTAGTTGTTACTACACTTTAGTCTCAAAACATTATTATATATATCTTCTCCTTATTTAATCATGTTGAAAGATAAAGTGGGTATTAGGTGGAACTTATGGGGTAGTGGCACAAGTGAAAGAAGTCATGACCTTGAGTGTTAAGTAATGCTTGGAAGTTGTAACTAATGCATATACACAGAAGAAATAGAAGACTAGTAGCCATCAAATAAATTCCAACTTCAAAGAAAATGACCCCATGCCAACCCCAACCCTAATTAGGACTTCCACTGTTTTCACTTCACTTGTTCCACTTGAACCTTCCACTTGCATCATGGATTTAATGGATTTAATGGATCCTTGTCCGTTCCCTTCATTGATCCTTCAATCTTTGTTGGAGATCAAGAAGATAATTGATTTGATTCCAAATTATTTCAGTGCAACCACAGACAAGGAAAATTATCTAGCAAATGGGTTGCTTGCATCTTTAAGCAAGCTTTAATTAACAATGGTTTAATAAAGTATTCTAATAATACAAGAATGGTAGCTTCATAGATCTGCATTCTCAATCATTCACAATTCTTGAAATTCTTTACAACTTTCTCTTCCTTTTCCCAAATATTCTGTTTAAAACTGAAACTTACCTTGTTTGATTAATTAGATTGCTAACCCAGATTTCCATTGCTGTTCTTAACCTGATATTTAATCTATTATCACTTCTCAATTAGACTGACCTACTGAGCAACCAACCCATTTTCTACTACGAATGTTCCAACAAATCAGATTGCTTTATGATGGTTAGCTTCTACAAACTGAGCTTTAAGTTATAAATAAAGATAATTCTATTTTACAGTTTAGACTGTACTAAATTATAAAATAGAGATCATTGAATGGGGAGAGAGCATCCAATGGTTAGTGTAGTGCAGTCCAAATATAGTTCAATACAGTTTGGACTGCACAACACTTTTTTAATAAATAAATAGAAGAATGATACAAGATATTTTTTTATAAAAGAATGATGGATGAATGATACTTGCCAACTAAAAGATAAGGTTGCTTCAGCAGCTCATCTGCTTGCTCATCTAGATCCGGAGAAGGAGAACTTACAAGCAATTTAGTAGACCTTGTGAAAGTTATTCAGCCTGTTGGTCCTCGATATAACTTTGTCAAAGTATGGTTTGAAATTTGAACTGAGTTTTTACAAAAATGTTACACCATGAATTCATATTAATTGTCAGAAAAAATTTTACCATTAATAAAAATTACATTAAAAGTTTGTGACTTCAGCTTCTAATTCTTTAGAAACAAAAAACTTCTAGAAAAGCTAGAAGCATTGTTCAAAAAAGTAACTCGGACTAAGCTTCTAGTTTTGTAGAGAAATCATTTCAGAAGCCTAAGCCTAATAGGTGTGTCCCATTTTCCAAGCATTTTCTCTATCAGCAATACCCTATTGGAAAATCTTAGGACTTAGAGAAAGAGAAATTAAGGTAATAAATAATTTAACTCAAGTTAACAAAATTACAACTTACCACATTACATTCACAAGCATATGATAAGAATCAAGGTCTCTATATCCAATTTGAATTCACAAGCACAGCACAGCATATCCACAAGCTTTTATTCAGTAGGAAATTATCGTTAACAAAGATCAGGGTCTGCAAACATGTTTTGCTGACACTTGCTTTGTCCTTAATATTACACTCTTAAGCAACATCTCATTCTCTAAGAGAAACTCGTTAAAGCAAGTGACTAAGAGTACTTTAAATTAAGCAATCATAGTTCAGAAGAGGTCAAGCTACACTGGAGTTAAACCCACAACACCTGCACACGCATGATGAGAAAAGTGTTAAAACTTGAGTAGTATTCAATAAGAAAAAACGGAGCAAGCAGTTTGAAAGGAACATTTTAATGCTGGCATGGTTTCTTGTCCATTGCTGTCCATTGTTCAAAGCAAATATTTAAGGTTGTCTGTGAACTTACATTGTTCAGATTCTTGTAGGCAGATTGGTACATAAAATTCCAGTTATGAATAATGGCCAAAAGAAGATGCTTCCAAGAAAGACATGCAAACTTGACAAGGCAGTAAGATATTTTCACTTTTTCTTTTTTGATGGCAAGAGATTATCTCTTAACTGATAAATAATTTCATAAATAGATAGGTTATAATTCTAAAATCACTGGCATTCCTAACTAATGACAACAAAAATCAGAAAATCCTTAATAAATGTTAAGCAAATTAAGCTAATTATGTTTCCATATATTGAAGAGGGTTTTTTCCAATTTGGTTTCTTTTCTGGGAACAGTTTGAATTAAAACCAAACTTGTCACCTCAAACAAAACTAAGACTTGAACTTAACTTACCTAGATTAATCAAAGAACATATTAAAATGCTAGTAATTAAGATTTCATATATTTTCACATACCACAAGCCAATCTTCCGCCTGCATTGCCTGTGGTAAGACTAAGTTCAAGCCCACCTAGAAACGCATAACCCAGGAGGAGTGAGGATAAAAATAGACAAAAGAAGAAAAAATGATTGCACTGAAAGAAATGACAATAAACTTCAAAGAAATTTACACTGTAAACACAAAATGTACCACTGACTTGTACTAATAATCTAACATCAGCCAATATTAAGGGCATAAACTTTTGTCAGTATAAAATTATTGTTCCTCTTCCAACAACCATATGAAAAATAACTTTTCTTAGCAAGGTGAGAGTTGCACTAAATAATCACCCTTTCCAAGATCATCCTCAAGCTCATGAACCACAAATGCTCTTCCGATTACTGCAGTGGGACCGCTCAATGGTATCTGCATGAAGGGAGTAAAAATGAGTTTTTGAAAGGACTAAACAGGACTAGAGTCCTAGCTTTGCATACAGATTGCACTCACATACACGTTATTGAAAGAAAATTAAATTTTGAACGGTACCTGGTTATCCACAATTGTTGTCTCTGCGATTCCTGTGGTAGCCAAATGTTTTCAAACAATAAACTCAAATGGTTCAGAATGATTAGAAGAAATTTTCAAACAATTAAAAGAAAAAAAGGAAAAAGGAAGAAAGCATTACCATCAGCATTAGCTACTATGTTTCCCAGGTCACCCGCATGACGGATTTCATCCTTAGGAGCACCATGTTTCATTTTGTTAGGATTGAAATGTGCTCCTGTCATTTAAAATTTTGAAAATGAGAAGACAAATACATTAACATTTACCAGACAAAATGCAAGTGTCAGAATTAACTCATTCACTTTGAAAAATAATAAGCACCTGTATGATGAAGGGTTTTTTTTTAAAATTTTTTAGGCCTTTATATGTTGAAGTTCAAATGCTAAATTTTACCTGTTGATATGCATCCATTTGTTGTGTCACCAAACTCATGCTACAAAGAACAAAAGATAATGTTAAAAGCACAAATTTTAGAGAACTTTTTCATATTCAGAATTCATCTCTAAAGACAATGAGGTAAAGCAAACTCACTAGATGGAACCCATGAGACCCAGGAGTAAGCCCAGTAACACGAACTTTCACAGTTGTTGGACCTAGATGAAAGCTTGCACGCAGTAAAGACATCAGATTCTTTTCACATGAATTTTCAGAGTGGTCAACGTAAGAAAACAGTAATCATCAGTCCAAAAAATAAAGAAAATACTTAGCTCATTTTAGTTCTCTCTTTTTATAGAAGCAAGGGAAATTGTAAGTTATAACATTAACATGTAACATTTTCATTCCCAAAAATTGCAATACAGGCTTGATATTTATTTTAACAGAATAATACCCTTTTCTCTCGCTTCATAAACTTAAACAACAGGCAAAAAAAAAAAAAAAATCCAGAAAACAACTATCATCTTAAAATGGCTAAATTCAACATTTATAGAATGAATTCCATTTCCTCAATCACTTCAAGACAAAATGACAGTTAACAAACACCAAATTTAGCAATTAATTTCAACTAACCAAACCAAATAAGCACAAAAATGAAAGGGCACAAAGCTGATTTTCAATTAGAAAAAATTTGTTGTAACACTTGAAACAACCAAGCTTAAGCTTATAACTCCTCAGCAACAAAATGTCCAAAAGAATAAAATGTAAACATTTTTTTTTTGTCCTCTACTCTACGCAGCAATTAAACAGAGAAACTGAAATTCGGCACCATAAACCGAAAACCCAAAACAGAAAATGCAATAAGAAAGACAAACGAATCGATAGAAAACAAAAACAAGAAAGAGAAAAGAAACGGACCACCATCTTCTTGAGTCAAAGTAACAATCCCTTCCACTTTAGAGTTGCCTTTGAGGACAGCCACTGCTTTCTTGGTGGCAGAAACGATGGCAAGAGGCCCTTTGGGAGCAGTGACGGCGACGGGCAGTGACTGGCGAGGGAGCTTCAGAGGAAGACCAATGAATGTAGATTGAACAGAAGGTAGGTTATGGGTTGGAAATGGGAAGAGAATGGTGTGGTATAAAGGAGAAGCAGCGAGAATGGTGTGTGCTGCCATGGCTGCTACCACTGCAGCTTGCATTGCTTGCCGTTGCCGATGACGACGAGACGAGATAATGTGAGCTGAGTTTCTGGTGGTGGCTGGCTGCTATCTGGGTGGGCAGGTGGCTTTTTGGTTGGAAGCCGGACAGAAGGACACCAGGACTTGGGCTTGTGTTCGTTTTGAACCCATAAGAAATCTGCTTGGATGGGCCCTGGGTTCGGTTGAAGTGATTCAATTGCCTCTCTCTTTTCTGGGTGTCGTGGCATATCTAGTGCAAGATTACAAGCCCATTAAAGTTTGATAATGTCAATTTGACAGTCCATTTTTAAATTTAGTTGATGGGTTGTGGACTGATTTGAGAAAGGAAGAGGGAGTTTAAACCAACTAAAAATGAGAAAAAAAAAATTGTTATGCAATTCGGATTATATCTAAACTAGTTATTTTAAATTGGGAGATGGTTCTTTGATATTGAGTCCTTCTTCCTCTTCCAAATATCTATATTTTACGATTCCAATTATCAAATAAGATACCAAGAAGAGCAAGGCTAAACCCCTATTTTTATCATACACATAATTTTTTTTTTTTTTGTAATTAACATTCTCAAATACTTTTACTTTTAATCAACATTTTTTTATAGTTTAAAACTCATGAAAAACGTAAAAATTAACGATCAAACTTTTTATTTGCATTTTAATTTTGTTGACAATTTAGAGTTTTTTTGCAAGTTTTAAATTAGGCAAAACCATAAGTTAAGCCCCTGAACTAACCCCAGAATCGCTATTAAGCTCCTAAACTTTAATTGATGCAGTTAATCCCTTGAACTCTGGGATCAAAGCAATTAAGCCCTTCTTCTTATTTTAAAAATTAAAGTCTAGGGGCTTAATAGCGTAAGAAGAAGGGCTTAATTGCTTTGATCCCAGAGTTCAAGGGCTTAACTACATCAATTAAAGTCTAGAGGTTTAATAGCGATTCTGGGGTTAGTTCAGGGGCTTAACTTATGGTTTTGCCTTTAAATTATGAAAGGTGTTCTTTATAGAAAAAATAATGTTCAGGGTGAAAATAAAAGGTTTGGCAAAAAAAAAAAGGAAAAAAAGAAAGAAGAATGAATCAAATTTTCTCACATTCATAATTTACAGATTGATAATGCACATCAGTGTACTGTTGTTGCTGCACCACCAAAACAGATGTTCTGCTCTCAAAATCTGGTGAGGCTAGTAGGTCTCCGATAATTCCCAGCTCCGGATATTCACTCCATTCTGATAATCCCGAAGTCTGAACAGAATCAATACCTTGACGCCTACCTACTATTAGAAGGTCATATCCATCCACAATTGATCGTAGTATCAATGCAGTCTGTGGTCCATCCTTCACCTCCTCTTCCATGTACATAGAGTTATCTTTCCTAACATTCCTCAACACCTCTGCATCAAGCAAGTGGTCCATGATACCTTTCTTGTCATCCTTGCTAACGAAATGGATTACGGTAAGGCTCACTTTTGGGTCATTTGCCATTCTTTTGGCCAGAGCTAAGGCCTCTCTATCATCTTTTCCGCCAAAGAAGACTATTCCCACAGAATATGTTCGCGTTGCAAACCATGTTGAAGTTCTTCTCGAGGTTAGGCGACCCACAACGCCACGGTCAATGAGGATCCCTACAGAGCAGGGAGCTCTTTCAAGGACACTGCAGTTCAAGTTCCTTATCATTGAGTTTTCTGATTCTATGGATCCGTCGATGGCCCATTTCCGGTGGAATGGAAGGAGAAGGAAGGAAGTTTGTTTGTCAAGAGAAAGAGTACAAATGTCCTCATGCATCATCTTGGTTGGAGAGATGGCCGTGAAAGGGTTGACAGTCACGAGGCCCCAACTTCTCTGCTCGTATTGATTGAAAGCAAGAATGACGCTTTCAAAGTAGCGATCGGAAACTCTGGTTTCTTTCTTTTGGTGCGCTATGAACACCGGAGAAGCTCGGCCAATCAACTCGATTAAGTGAAGGACGTAAACTACATTAGGACTCTGTTTGGTGGGGCCTGTAGTATTCAACAGGTCTATGAAGGCACTCACATTCTCCGGTCTGTGAACGCACACAAGAATCCTAAACTCTGCATTGCGTTTCAAATACATTATGTTTCTTTTCTGATACCCTGCATATTTTCTGGAAAACGGGTCGTACAGTAATTTCACCAGGAGAGGAACAATAGCTGAGTTCAATAAAATTCCGATGACTGCCATTGCAAAAGCTCTCTTTCTCATAACCTATAATTGAAACAAAGTGAGAATTCAAGTTACAAGTTTCATGTTCGAATGTTGTTTCAGCACTGGAATCGGAGAAAGAAAACATGTAATTTACCTTTTTGTCTTTAAGAATGGAAAAATGGGAAAGTTCAACTACGCCTTTGCTACTCATAATGAGAGCAAGAGCTAGGGCATCTTTCCAGGGCATTTTGCAGAATAATGAAGGAAGAAAACTTGATGCCAATTTCCCTAGAAATGTCAGAACAATTACGATTATGTTGAATTTGTCTAACTTCTCTTCAGCCACGTCGATCATTGTTCTCCCTGGATCTGCTCTCAATGTTGTTGTGACTACGTAGATTGGAAAAAAGATCCCCGTAACAAAGCATTCAAACTTTTCCACTAATATTGATCCTAATGGAGGGCCGTCCGGTACCACCAGACCGAACACAAAAGCCCCGAAGAGAGGAGTGTGTTCGAAGTAATTAGTGTACAGGGCAGATGCCAAAGCCATCAACACGACAATGTGAACGTAAGTATCCTTGACTTGTTTCCCCTCCGGTGTGCGTCTAACCATCCAAACCATGATCGGACGAAGGATGAAGATGGCAACGAGAGTGAAAGAAATCATTCCGGTTGTGTTTTTTATAGCACTTGTTTTTGAGTGCTCCCAAATTCTAGAGAATATGACAACGGAAATGAGGAAAATGCTACAAAAATCTCCAACTATGGCAGAGGACAGCGCCAACCGTCCCAGTTCTGAGTTTAGTATCATCAGCTCGTCGAGGAGGCAGGCGATCACGGAAAAGGATGTGAAAGATGATACTGTTATTACGGCCATGTGTTCGAGTTTGATGCTTTTGGTTTGGTAAGGACCGGCAGTGGCCATGTGATAGGTTAATGCAATTATTAAAGGGAATAACACGGAGGCGACGCCAATCACGGTGGCCCTTCTGGCTGCTCTAAATGCCATACCCACGTCCGTTTTTACTCCCATCAAAAATAGAAAAATGGAGAACCCAAAATTAGCAGTTGTGTCTAATACTTCCCTAGGATGACCAGGGGAAAAAAATTCCGATACCTTGAGAGATTCGATTTTCCCCAACAATGTTGGACCGAGCATTAATCCAGCCTTGTGTAAAATCAAATCATTCAATTAATTCACAAAATCAATAATACGTTAATCAAATAAATTTGTAAAAGAATGAAAAAAATAGTACATACAACAATTTGTGAAACAAGGGAGCGGAGCCCAACACGCTTGAAAAAGAAATGAATGGTGTGGCTGCATATGAACAGAACGACAATCTGCAACTCTAGGAGTGGCAAGGAATAGCTAAAGATTACTGACGGTGATTCCGTGTTCTCCCAGATTCCGGCAGAGTTAATCTTTGGTGGTAGAAGGAAACAAGTTTTTCCGTTAGGATCATTTAGGGATTGGGTTAGTGAAGAAGAATTCATTGAGGAGGGTGAAGGTACGTAATAATGGTTTGAGGGGATGATTGGAGAAAATGGCTAACCACATTTTGAATTGTTGCTAAACATGCGAGGAAATAGAATTGTTTCAACAACATGTGATGTTTTCCAGCAAAATAACTTTTTACTGATTAGGGTTGGATGATGATCTGTTTTCCCGCGTGGGAGTTGGTTACCCAACAATAGAACAGAAACATTAATTTTAACGGTCATAACTCAATCTCCTTTGCCTTAAATCTAGCATAGGGGTGGAAACCAGCAGGGGAGTCCCTCCCCTTCCCCATCCTCTTCCTTGCGAATGGTGAGGAGAGGGATTCGCGACAGGATTTTTGAATGAGGATAGATTTTGCCTCTTATCTCTGTTCCTTGCAAGCATTGTTTTAAAACTTGGATTGAATCAGTTAGTCTGATCGGTTGAACCAAAATCGATTATAAAATTGGTTCAAATCGTAACATAAATACAATTTGTAATAAGATTTGATCAAAATGAGTTAAACTTGATCAAAATTGTTGGTATTTGAACTAATAAACTGTTTGATTCACAAAATTTGAAAACTTTTCAACAAATTTATGCACAAGGATTCATTTGAACTAATGAGCTGTTTGATTCATAAATTTTGAAAACTTTTCAACAAATTTATGCACAAGGGATTCGAACCGACTCCCTCAACACACATTTTGGAGTTTTAACCATTGGGCCATCAACACTACAATTGTTATTTTTACACAAAATTTTATTTATTTAAATAAAATAAAGAGAAGAGAAGAGTGCATTTATGTAATTTTTAACAATTAATTATTTTCTAAGTCAATATCATGTTAATGATTTTAATTGTATATTTAACAAATGAAATTTTCTAATATGTGCTCTTAGAATATAGGTAAAATTTTATTAAATATAGTATCTTTAATTAATTTTATATAAATTTTTATTTTAGATTTAATTAAAATAAAATAAAAAATAAAAAATTGAAATATAATATAATATTTATAATCAAAATTTGTAAAAAAATAAGAATTTGATATAAAAATTTGTACCAAATTAATTAAAAATTTTACATTTAATGAAGTTTAACACATACTCTTAGGAACAATTAAACAAATTCTTAATAAATTAAAATTAATCTTTATTTTTTTATAAATATTAATTATTAAAAGGCACATTAAATATAAAAGAATATGTTAGAAAAATATTTTCATCAAATAAAATTTATAAATTAGTTAATTTTAAAGATAAGATAACAAATTAAAGTAAATACCTTTAAACTCAAATTATGAACCATATTACTAAATTAAATTAAGCTTTTATTTCTAAGATTTTAAATTGTTTATTTAATAAAATCATAAATAATAATGATAATGATTTGATAAGATTCAAAATTTTAAGTTTTTAAATATGGTTTAAGTACCATTTTAGTCCCTCAACTTTACACTTTGGTACCAAAATTGTCTCTTATTTTTAAAAAGTACCAAAATTATCTTCGAACTTTCATTTTTAGTACAAAATAGTCCTTCCGTCAGTTAAATGACAGGTGTCACGTTAATTTGCCAGCAAATCTTTTTTTTTTGAAAAAATACTGATGTGGAAAAGATTACACACGAAAATTGATGAGATGGCACTTTATTTTGTTTATGTGGCATTTTTAATTTTAAACAAATAAATAAAAACCATTTATTATTAATTAATTAAAATCATTT